TGCATGATGTTCATGTGCTGATGTGCATACTACCATATTAATTGTCATTAGAACGATGCGGTATTCGTCAATAGTGTCTAGTAGTCATAAATAAGTAAATACTCTTTTGTAGCCATACTATGGGAAGATCATCATGTTTTAGTCATATTGTCGCATTTTTCCCCAAAACATATAGCACTGCTATGAATTGTCTTAATTTTAATTGTCCATTTGAGATCATATAAACATACCAAGTAGCTACACTGTATGTGGAGTAATATAATAGGACATGCATGTTACTATGTAAAAATTGATTGAACCTCTGTAAGTAAATGGATCAGAGCCCTATTAGCTATCTTTCAACTTAAAATTAAAGTCCAATTTACATCTTTCGAGTTAACTGTCCGGAATTGCTAATTGGTCTAGTGAGAGGCTCTCAGAGATGGAGTGTCCTCTTTAAAAAAGTGGAGTAAGGGCATGTTTGGCACAACTAGCTGAAAAGATACTTTTGTGAGCTTTTTAATAGCTGTTAGCTTTTAGTGACTGAAAAGATCTTAAAAAGAAAAGGTGGTAGCTGTTTGATAAAAAGCTGACTGTTTGATTTAGTTCGGTTTGGTATACAAGCTGTTAGGATTAATTAATACTAAAAGTCACTAGCTTTTCTTAGATGCTACTCCCGGTAGCATCTCAAAAAAGATCTTTTAATTTTTGAAAAGCTCTTAAATATTGTCATGCCAAACACACAACTAGAAGCTTTTAGGAACTTTTTGAACAGTACAAAAGCTAGAAGTCAGGGACTTATGCCAGCCAAACATAGCCTAAATAGTGTGAAAATGATGAAAATCATTGGAGTATGTAGTACTTTATTAATTAATGTTAGTATATGCCGAACATGGGACTAAGGATGGCTAGCTGCCATGCTGGTGGGCTAGCATGTCAAGAGTTCATTTTTTGCTGTGAAAGGATGCCTAAATACAAAGTGTGTTGGAGTAATTATTGATATGTTTTTACATTATCAAACTATATATGTAGGTTGTATTTTGCAAACTTGATTGTAATTATTCATATTTAGAGAGAAATAGTGATAATACTATATTGAAACTTCAAAAGTTTTACTCCTATTTTTTAAACCTCATTATTCTCAATTTAGCATTTGACGTATATATCAATTCTTACTCAAAAAGTAACTAGTCCGTATAAAAAATAGAGGGCCGATATATATTTATATATGAGAAACTTCCTAAATAGAATAAAAACAAAAATCAATTTCATATATAAATATGACTCTCTTTGTTTTATTCTTAAAATAGGATCCATTCACTCATATCTTAATCAAGTTAATCTTTTAATAGGACTACGATATAAATCCTATTTAGGGAATAAAAATACTTAACCCAGTTTTTGAACTTTGTATATGTTTTAGTCATTGAACAATTTATTTATATATTAATAATATATACATGGGAAAATTGCTCAAAAAATAATTATGGGATGATATATACATGGATGATATGTATACATGGAATAACTGCTCAATTTAAACATGATGATTGTGTTTTTTATCTAAAAAAAATTACATCTATACAATTAAAATAGAGACTGAAAAAATATGACATCCTAAGTGTACTGCTTATAGTAGTAGTGATAGAGTATTAATTCTAGAGAGAAGTGAGAGCTAGAGAGAGAAAGTGAGTAATTATATTTCTCAATCCCCTATAACTAGCCCCAAGGGGTCTATTTATAGGTAAAAATGTGGATTTGGGCTCCTAGCCATGGGCTTAGAAGGCCCATTACAATAATCATGCCTTCTTTGAGCGAAATAGGGCCACTAATGGGTTGGGTACAATACTTAGTAAATAAAGTAGAAAGATGTATTCTGCCAGGACGAAGTCTGGCCGATGCGGTGCACTTCAGCCGATGCGGTCCCATGGCCGATGCGATCCCTGGGCCGATTGGTCCCGGACTCCCGGAAGTCCAGGTGCGTGTTCTGGGCCGGTGTGGTTTCTGGCCGATGCGGGTCCCACTGGGCCGAAGGGGGGCCACGTGGACGTTCTTCTGGTCATCGTTGACTTGAGTATGTGGGCCATGGGGTCTAGGCCCATATACACCATCAAATAGCTTTAATCAAATAATTTACATGCATTCAATTTTAACTTTTAAGTGATTATGAGATTGTATTATAGTAACTATTAATCATATTATTGTAAATAAGCTTCGTTAGAGTAATATTTTTGAAAAAAACATTCTTTTTCTAAGACCTATCTATTATTCATATACTCATATAAATAAGAATCCCGTTATTTCATTCTAGAGTCATCTTTGATTTTCCAATAAAAGATGATAGACTTTCACCAATAATATATGAGATATTTTGACTTTGCAACCCGTTTTTTGGGTGATACTGGACTTTACACTCTATTTTCAAAACTCTTAGTCTTTGAACCTTATTTCCCCTAAAATGTCTTTGCTTTTGCACCCCATTCACCAATTTTTCTTCACAAAATGTTGTAGATAGGGTGCAAAGTCAAAAAGTTTTGAAAATGAGGTGCAAAGTCCAATATCACCCAAAAATTGGGGTGCAAACTCAAAATTCCCCATAATATATTTATATGTGAAATATTTAAAATATGAAAGTGAAATGAAAATGTTCTTTGTTAAAAATAACATCATAAAAGCATACAATTATTAGTTTTCAGTTTTCACTAAATATAAGTGTTAAAATAATCAACCAAAGAGTACTATCATTGATTAGAAAAGTCAATAATGACTAACTAAAATGAGGTGAAAGTAGTATCGGGGGCAGAGGCATAGCTGGGGGGGGGGGGGGGGGGGGTAGCTTAGGCCCTATCCCATCTCAATTTTAAAAAATGTCAATATTTTTAATGTAAAAAATTTTGTATAATTTTTTTCTCATTTTTTTTGTACCGGTCCAATTCGGCCTAGTGCCTGGCTCTGCCACCTGGGTACATAGTATCATTATTAAATAAAAAGGAATCATATAAGGAATTTGAAGATTATCATATTTAGAGAAACAATTTACTTCGTATAGTTTGTGTTGTTATACCGTGGGAGCAGCCCCACGGTGAGCGTGGTTCTCTCACAGCCAAAGCAATCGTGAAAAGTAACATGTGTGATCAATAACTTTTTTTTTCTAGTTCCATTAGCATGGTGATGTAACTCGCATGCAGAATATAACTCATACTGATAAGAAATTTAACTGCATACAAGTCAAAATGTGACATGTCTAATACTAAGTATAAGAACTAAAACATTAATTCATTGTAACCATTATACAAAGAGTCTAATATTTCGATTATTTTACATAAACAGTAAATATGTAATATTTATAATATAAAGGCCATAACAAGTGTTTTTTTTAAAAAAAATTGGCGAAAAAATCATTTCATTTGCGAAAAATGATATGATTTTTTGATTATATAGTAGTGGTTTATTATGTGATGTAAATCGTGTTGATGAAAAATCCAAATTAGATGTATGCAAAATGTAACTTGTTAATGCAAGTCCAAATGTAAATCGCGCACATGAAGATGTAACTCATACATAAAAAGATGTAACTTCACATACTATCAAATGCAAACAATGAAAACACGGAGTCTAACAAGTAACAACTCAATTAATTTACGTAAATGGAGAATATGTTTTGTTTTAAATATTAATGCCATAAAAATGTTTAAAAGAAAAGTCTTTTATTTCCCAAAAAAAAATTGCCATTTTTTTTTGAAAAAAATATTGTTTTTATTTCAATAACATGAGTTTATTTTGTGATGTAACTCGTATTATAAAAGGTGTAACTCGCGTTGATGAAAATTTAACTTAGGTGTTTGCAAAATGTAAATTGTTGAAGCGAGTCCAAATGTACCTTGCGCATAAGAAGATGTAACTAACTCATAAAAAGATGTAGGCTAAAGGGTCAAATAGGCCCTTAAACTAACTTAAAGTGTTCAATGTGCCCCTTATATAGGAGGTTCAGTCTGGCCGTCGCCAATTGGGGCAGTTCCCGGTGGATTTTTTTCATGAAATATTTTGAGCATCTTCTTCATTAAGTCTAGTTTACTGATATCAAAGTTTAGCTAAAAATTCAACCGGGAAGGCAGACAAATGATTTTTTGAAGATAAATGTGGGACAAGCACAACATGCGCATGGTGTGCCGATCTCACGGTATAATTTGCAGTGTATAGTAGTTTTGTCATGCGTAAGAACATCTTCTTGTGTGCCTTGATGGTGGTATATACCCACCATATGAAATTGATTTGTAAAGTTAATATTTGTTGGTCAATTAATGTAAAAGTTAAGTCTTCCCCATCAATATTTAATTCAATTTTGGTAATTAAAATTTACATATTTAGAAACTACATTAAAGTCCCTATTAAGTTGAAAAATTCAAATTAGAAAATAATTAAAAATTGATATACTAATAAAGTGAATAAAATGAAGTTGTTTGATACAAAAATGACTTTGCAAATGAATTTGGGAGGATGTTAATATATGTATATATCTAATTCCAAATTGTTAGGTTCCTTGGCGTAGGGACCAACAAAAGTCGCTCTCAATAAAATATCTAATTCCTATGTTAGTTTAGTATGATAAGTTGAGTGTATTACATTTAATTAATTTTATCAAATAAAATAATCCTTCCAAATGAATGAATTAAAATTTAATTCATTCAATCACAAATATTTTTTGAAGAACAATCACAAATATTAAAAATTAAATATTACTTATTCAATTAATATTTTGTTTATTGCAATGATTCAATCGAAATGTATAATCAGTTGTTATGTAATTCATATTGCCTTATATATTAAACATTTGATTATGTGATCATCATGAATTATACAAATTCAAAGTTATGGCATACATATCTTATCACATATCATTAATATTCTTTTATGGATGAATGGATGATCATTGATTGAGCTAAAGTTTTTTTTTTTTTTTGCTATTTTTGCTGTTGCTATTTTAGGATTTTTTTTTTTTTTGCTATTTTAGGATTTTAGGACATAGGTCGATAAACCCAAAACCCTATACTTTCCGAAGACCTCAAATTCTTGTCGCTAATTCTCTGCTCTCGCCCTAGCAGTCGGTGCTTGACATCGCCGCCTGCTCTCCGGAGCTCTAAAGACATCCCAACCAGTCCAAAAGCCCAAATAAAAACCACGAAGTAACTAACGCGATACAGGCAGCCTTCACCCCCACAGCTGTAAACTCACGCAGGCAGCCTTCTGCGGTTGACGGTTCCGTTCCGCCTTCAAGCTTCAGCCTTCGACGTCGGCGTCCAGCATTCCAGGTCTCCAGCTCCAACTCTCCAAGCCTTCAAGAGTTCTGGTTATCAGGTATTCAGGTACACCTTTGACCTTCGGAGTTCCAACCTGCTTCAGAAGTTCGGCCATTGTTTTACACTTTTACAAAACTACATTTTTTAACATTTTCTTTTATTGATTATGTGACCGACTTTTAAAAATTAACATTTTCTTTTATTAATTTATTTGATTAATAAAAACATACGATTATGTGACCAGTTTATTAATTGATAAATTGATTTAATTCATAGTTGTTTAATGTTTATAAATAAATGATTTTGAATAGTTGACAAATACTTAGTTGATTTGTCATTTGTTACATGTTAATCACTTAATTGTTGATTGTTACCTATGGAGTGTTGGTGTTATAATTTGTTCATTTTGTTAGGTAAAAATTTTCAACTATAGTTAAATTTATAAGTTTAACTAATTTCTAGATTTAATAAAAATGGTGTATCTGGATGGGAGAAAAAATGAAGAAGAGAAGAATAGATAATGTTGCCCCAAGTAAAAAAGGTTAAATGGAAAATGTTGCAAAATGTTTTACCGGATGACAAAGACACTATCATTCAAATTATTGATTTTGTGAAGGTTATGGATTGTTGTCCGAACACAACAATTGATTATAGGATACTATTGACAGTACCGGTAAAACTGTGGCCATTGCGGAAAGAAGTTTTTCAAAGTTGAAGATTCTCAAAAATTATTTGCGATCAACAATGTGTCAAGAAAGGCTTAATGGATTAGCTATATTAAGCATTGAGCATAATGTGTTAGAAAAGCTTGATTATGAAGCTATAGGTGATGACTTTACTTCACAATGTTCAGCAAGCAATGTATTTAAGTAATTTTTATTTGGTTATTTTGAAAATGTAATTTGACTATGTTTAATTTAATGAATTCAAGTGTTTTCTTTATTATAAAAGTCTTCAAATACTATTATTTTGCATGTTAATTTAGTCAGAAACGAGTTATACAATTTTCTTTTTTAAATTTAGTCCCATTTTAAATTATTCTCCCCTGGGCCTTCAGATATACAGGGCCGTCCCTGATTGCAATGATGTTCCTAGATTTTCATTTTTTTCCTCACTATTTTCGTTCCCTTTTCCTCTTGTTTCTGTTTGAACATCTTCTTTAAAAATCAACTGTTAGCCTGTCCATCCTCAAAACTTTCTAAAAAAATCATAGATTCATGGTAGGGATTCTACGCAGTCCCACTGGTGGAGAGGAATATTCAGAACCTAAAACTCAACGCGACCCAGAGCAGGTGGAAGCCAGTGACCTGCTTGCCGAACAATTGCTTTTAGACTTGGAAGAAAACTCAATTTCTTTTGCCGACTCATTCCTTGATTTTGATAATTTAAACTACTGGATTGATCAGGGATCTGAATCGCATAGTATGGAGTCTGCTGTCAATGTTGATAGCGTATTTGGCTGTGATGGAGCTCATGAACAGGTAGAGTATTCGGAGCAAAAAGAAAAGATCGGTTCATTGAGCTATTTGGAAGCTAAAAAGATATACGATAGTGAGGAAGTTAAAGTTAAGGAGGAGATAGTGGTGAATTCCGTAGATGAGACGGTGGGGGAGTTGGGCTGTGTGACTGAGGACTTGATTGATCAGAAATCGGACTCACATAGTATGAAGTCTGCTGTCAATGTTGATGGTGAAGAGGTAGAATATTCAGAGGAAAAAGAAAAGATAGGCTCATTAAGGTATTTGGAAGCTGAAAAGATAGATTGTGGTGAGGAAGTCAAAGAGGAGGTAGTGGTGAATTGTGGAGATGAGAAGGTGAGGCAGTTGGGATGTGTGATTGAGAAGGAGATGGGAAAAGTTAATTTGAACGGCACATATAGTGTGAAGGAGGGTGTTGAAGCTATGACTAGGGAGGCGGTTGTTGGAATTACTGAAGATATGTATTCTCATGGTGTTAAGAGCAATGATAGTGATCATGATGAACAAGTTATTACCATTAACACTGGAGACAAGAAAGAAGCAATGGTTAATGGATCAAGGATTGTTGGCAAAGATGAGTCCGATTCTGATTCTGGATGTGATAGAGACAGTTTGTCTTCTTCTTCGTCTGCCTCCAGTAGTGATGATGATGATGAGAAAGGAGTCAATATCATCAATAAGAGGGCTTCTGAAATTGAAGAAGGCGAGATTCTAGCATGTACTTCGGATGATATGGTTGCTTGGAGTGATGATGATGATGGTATGGAAGGCAGTGGTCCAAAGGGCCCAATAAGGTCGAAGAATGAGCTTCAGGTATATTTTCTTTGCATTCCATTACATTAACTTCGTAGCTGTGGAAAATTGCATCTTTGTTTGCTTATTAATTGTGCATATGCTTCTAAATAACTTATGCTTAAGTTTTATTTATAGTTTTTATGTTAGAATATGAGATACCTGGATCCCTGTTATTATGTTGTAGCAAATTAAACCAACCTTTTAATAAACTATTACAACATTTTATTTACTTAAGAAGTGAGGCTGTAAAGATATGATTAACTTGTAAGTTGTAAACACTAATATTTAAGTCCAGGGAAGATGTTCTTTCAAGTTTGGCTGATGTAAACCTGCCCGAACAGGTAATATTTAACCATTATCGTTGTTTTTACATGTGATGTTAATGTAATTGTCTTGAATATCATTAGTTAAAGAAAGAAGGTCATTAGTTTTAGGCATCGTTTAAAATTGCACCATGCAATACCTCAATAAGGCGCGCAACAGTAACTTCACAGAGAAAGGCGGATTATTGCATTGCTAAAGGCGGAGGTCTGTAATCGTACGCGTTATTGCACAGAGGCGTACACTATGTGTATTGCGCTTCAAGGCGAGGTGAGTCGACTGCCTTAACAGTTGGGCCCACTTTTTATTTTTTTTAAATGCGACAGCCTACCTGTGTCACTGTGTGTACGCTATTCCCTTCGCTGCTGCTTAACCCTGCGTCAAATGTGGTTGCGGAAAGTGTTCTTCTCCATCAATTATTTATTTGTTCGACAGTCTTCCCCCAGGTTGCTTAATACTTCGATTGCTTCATCATACACGTTTCTTCTATGTTTTGACTTCAATTATTTTTATTAGTAATATGGCTGTCAATCGTTTTTTGATACTTTTAGTTAATTGATAATTGATACGGAGTATTATTTATTTATTCTTTAATCACAGGTGCTTCTTAAATCTTAACTTCAGTCAATAAATCCTGTAATTGTTTTGATAATTGATATAGAAAGTTAATTCTACATTTATCTTAATTTTAATAATACTAAGTATATGGTTGTTTATCGTTTTGATAATTTCAGTTCATTGATATTATTCATTAATCACAGGTGCTTCTTTTAGTTCTTTAATCTTAATTTCAGTTGATAGATACTATCATATTATTCTTTAATCACAGATGCTTCTTTGATCTTAATTTCAGATTTTAGTTAACAATTTCTTTTATTGTTTTGATAATTGATATATAACGTTGATTATATTTTACATATTATCTTACTTGTAATATTAAAATAAATATAAATTTGGGTATATCTTAATTTTCTCTTCATATATATATATATATATATATTTGCTTCTATAATAAAAGATAATGATGGTTAGTGTAGTGACTGTAGTCATTTTTCCGTCTAAGCATGTAATGGAGTTAGTTAAAACTTAACGCTACTTTCAACAATGGGAACACGCCCATTTAAATGTGTTAAATAGCCTTGAAAGTAGGAACCGCTGCTCAAGAATAGTACATTCTCCCGATGGCACCATTTTCCTCTAAGCATTTCCATTTGCTAAAATATCTCTTTACATATGGTATTCCCTTCACCTCCTCTATTCTAATTTTATGCTTCTTTTTTTATTTTTTATTTTAATTTTTTTACTCCAGGGGGTCTGGGGGAGGGGGGGTGGGGGAGCCTGGAGTAATAGAGGCTGAAACTCACTCCATTGAGTTTCAGCCCCCTATGTGCCTAGCGGGTTTCGAACTCGAGACCTCTCACTAGGCACGGTAACCTCGCAACCAGCTAGGCTGTAATGCTTGGTTTATGCTTCTTTTATTGTAGTACTTTTAGCTATTTAAATTTGAGAGAATTCTCTAAATAGGAGTAAAACCGTTTTGAAATTCCAAAATAGAACTATCATGTTTTTTATTCCCTGAATAAGAGTAAATTTTTGCTAAGTATGGCATTACTAGGCTTTAAACATGATATTTTTTTCCAAACTTGGCAGATTACTCCTATTCAGGGAATAAAAAACATGATAGTCCTATTTTGGAATTTCAAAACGTTTTTACTCCTATTTGGGGCAATTTCTATTTAAATTTCTGAAACATACGTTTTTTCCCTAGAGTGAATTTTGTTCATGTAAATTAACTGATCTTATCACTCATACAGTATTGATTTTATCATTTGTTTAAACGCTGCTCCTGGATGAACAACTTTGGGGGATATGAAGTGTTGGTTTTGGGATTTTTACAATTATTCTTACTTAATGCCTACATAATGTTTGATAAAATGCCTCTCATGTTGTTCATAAAGTTACCTGTCATGCTTACATTAATTGGCAAACATAAGTCATTGGACATTTATAATTTCATAACTTCATACTCATTCACGAGTCTTCTGCATTTTACATTTTTTTGATTTTATTGTTCCAGGTATATGAAAATAACCATCCATTACTTACTATGTGATGGCAATTTTAAAAGTTAGCTTCACAAACTCAATTATAATACTAAGTTTAATCTCATATAATTTCATAACTTCATACTCACAACCTAATTTGTAGTTCGTAATAATCATCATTTATTCCAATACTAAATGGAAAATATGAAGAATATTATCAATACTAAAATTATTTTCAAAATTGGTCCTAGATAAAACCAAAACATTGGATCTTATAGCATACCTTCTTGACACGATTTGTATTAATTCTCACTCATTTTGAGAAGTGCAAGCCGAAGGTTCAGTTGATATCGTTTAGTTGAGGAAACTGCAAAGCAAAGTGCTTTTCTTTAAAAAGAATTAACTAAGCAAATACGTAGTACTTTATTATAAGTCCATTCTTTTCATGTTTGTATGCATATGAAAATAGTATTACCTAATAAATAAAGACCTTGCTTGAAAAGAAAACAGCTGGAAGACAAATTAGGTATGCCGAGCAACACACATGACATATACATGAAAGAAAAAAATACAATACGGAAATTTCTTTTTATATGTAGGAGTAAGACCATCACAATTTAATGTGCAGGCTGTTTTTAAATGAAGGAGATCTATATTTTTCATATTGAGTGTCTCAATATGAAGAATATTTTTCCATTTCTTTCAAAAGTTAATAGAAGTGCAGGGTGTTTTCCAGTACTATAAAATTCTTTGCACTTTGTATCTATTAAAAAGTTTGCTAGGCATGAAACCGCATTTTAAACAACTACCCCATATTGCTTTTCATATCAGCACAATTAACAAAACATCCAAACTAAACTGCAATTTTTCATGCACTTTGATTCGTCCATTCAAAATTTGCCACACTTACAAGTTACAACCCAATTTTTTAAAAAAGTGCTTGTACATTTCAGTTTGTTGCCCTTTTGATTTTTTAGAATTTACAAATTGTTATTGCTCCATTTGTATCTGCGCAGTTTATAAACAACAAAACTGTACTGCGCTTTTCATGACCCGTGACCCCCGGAGTACTGAGCCTGTTTCTCAAAAACATAAAGAGATTTGCTTGTATATAGGTGGACATGAACATCAGAATTCATTTTTCTACCATTTTTAAAATGAGTGTTTTTATTAATAGAAAAATAGATGAGGTATGTGTTTTTTTATCATTTTATCATTTTATCATTAATATATCATTAATATTAATGATAAAACGAGTTTTCTACCATTTTATATTAATAGAAATCATTAATATAAAACGAGTTCAAACTCCAGGAGATTTTATCATTTTTTTCAAAGCTAATGGGCATTAAATGTAAAATAGACTGTGTTTTCATTATTATAAAAATTCTTTAGCACTTTTTTACTATGTTGTAAAAACCTGACCATGTGACCCGGACAAATTACTGGGTCAAAGCTTAACCCAGACCCAACGGGTCAGCCAGATCAACGACCTCTATTAATAACACCTCTAAGATCCTTTGTGAAAATATATTGTTTCTTCTTGTGTCTAAAAATCGCACACCAAATAAGAAAGCAATCCATTACACTTCAAAATAATAAAACAGAAAAATGGTTTCTCATGCACAATGGTTTCTCACACACAAACACCATCATCATCATCATCAAATAACAATGATTTCTCGTTTTTCAGTTCTCTCTAGGAAAAAAAATTGGTATGTTCAGGACTACATCTCTTGGGCACTAATGAAGCTTGAAATTTTAAATACACTAATGCCCATTTTGGTTAACTTTTGTACTTTCATGGAATTGTGGCCGGAACAATGAATATTTGGCTTTATCTTGATAGTCATTGCTGGAACTAATACTTAACCATACTGCCATACATAAGAAGTAGTTTTTTTTTTTTACTTCTTTTCAATGATTACATCGGTTCTATAGCCGCACAAAACCATCAGTTTTAAAGCCGCATAAAAGATTCCATCAAACTATCACAGAATCTCACATGTTTACTTTTATAAGTATGCCTTGCATATAAAACACGCCAGGATTTTGATTCTTATGAATAGTACTTTGAGGTAATGACAAAGTACATTAGAATAGTTTTAAATTCTTATGAATCAAACACGCCAGGATTTTGATTTCAGTTGAATACTTGATTTTGTTTCATTCTTGTTTTGCAACACATTGCGTGTAGACTCTCAATTTTCTAAATATCAATTAGATTGGTTTTATTGACCTAAAACATTCATATTTATATATATGAATGTTTTAGGTCAATAAAACCAATCTAATTTCCATTTAAATAATCCATAAATCAGTATTTATTTCTAGCCCACACAAAAGTATTTACTAGGAAAAGAAAGACTGGAATGCATGAGACTTTAGTGACCTGTGAGTTGTGACCATATTTTCTAGTTTTTTTGTGGAATTTCTAGAAGGCATTCAATTCCTATTTTGTGAACATTTGAGCATAATACTATATGTGCTCTGCAGGAACTTCCTTTTGTTCCACCTGTTAATGTGACTATACAACCCCATCACCAGACCCTGCCAGTTGGAAACGTTTCTTCAGTAAGGCCACGGTGAACAGATAAATAAATTATTCACCTATAATTCCTTAATTGAAAATAGTTGTATAGTTGTATTCATTGCATGGATGTTATATATGGTTCAGATACTTGGAGCTCAAGTTATTGTTGAAGGCGTGGAGAAGCACAGTCCTCTTAACGAGGGCTCAATCCTGTGGATAACTGAAACCAGATCCCCGCTTGGGATAGTTGATGAAATTTTTGGGCCCGTCAAGAACCCTTACTACATTGTAAGGTATAATTCCGAAGATGAAGTGCCTGCAGGGATACAGCAAGGAACAGTGGTTTCTTTTGTCCAAGAATTTGCACACCATGTCCTTAACGACAAAAGTATCTACAAGAAAGGTTATGATGCATCTGGGGAAAACGACGAAGAATTATCAGAAGAGGGAGAGTTTTCGGACGACGAAAAGGAGGCAGAGTACAAGAGGATGATGAAGATGAAAAAGAGGGGCACAAATGAACACAAATATGGAGGGAACAAAATGGAGAAGAAGAAGGTAAGAAATCCACCAATGTATCAGAAACATAATCAAGTGATAGATGGTGGAAATGTTACTAGCGGGAGCATTAGTGTTCCAGTTGACCAAACCAAGACTCAAGGCTCCAACAATGGTCATTGGTCAAATCCTGCATCGACTCAATCTGCACAGTTCCATGGTTTCGGTGGTGCCCCTTCAAGTGGTGGAGGATTGCCATGTCAGCAGCAGCCACAGAACAATGGGTTTCAGTCTCTTGCTATGCAGCCGCAACAGCAGCAGCCACAAAACAATGGATTTCAGTCTTTCGCTATGCCGCCGCAACAGCAACAGCAGCCACAAAACAATGGGTTTCAGTCTTTCGCTATGCCGCCGCATCAGCAGCAGCAGCCACAAAACAATGGGTTTCAATCTTTCGCTATGCCGCCGCAACAGCAGCAGCAGCAGCAGCCACAAAACAATTGGTTTCAGTCTTTTGCTATGCCACCGCAACAACAGATGATGCCCTTCCCAGGTGGCTTACCTGCCATGAACATGCAGTGGGCCCAGCCTTTTTTCAGCATGCCTGTGGGTAATAATATACCAATGAATAATGTGGGTCCAATGTTTCCGACTAACTTTGTGTTGCATGGTGGACAGCCGAGTTTTGGTATATTCAACCAACCACCGCCACTTGGTGGACAAGGTTTACCCATTATGAATCCCAGCCAACAACAAGTCTTACTCCCTAAAAATGCAACACCTCAAAGTGAATCTGGTAATGATTCCTGGCCCCAACCTCCTGGTGGACAGCCAAGTTTTGGGATATTCAACCAACCACCGCCACTTGGTGGACAAGGTTTACCCATGAATCCCAGCCAACAAGTCTTGCTCCCTAACAATGCAACACCTCAAAGTGAACCTGGTAAAGATTCCTGGTCGCAACCTTCTGGCACGCCGGAGCGTCCTAGGAATTCTGATCAACCTGGGAGCTTTCAAAGGAGCTTTCGCGGTGGCCGGCAATCAAATCACAGGGGTGGTGGCCGTTTTAGAGGCGGGAGGGGTAGACGGCAAAACAACAATTGACTGGTCAAATCAACAACTGGAAGTATGTCTTCTCTAGGACAAAAAAACTAATGTTTCGCGAATTGATAGCTAGTACTTGAGAATGTAATGCAGTGCAATAATGCATTTGACCAATTCTGTATAATAACTAGTTCAACTGGTTTGTGTGATATGATATTTTATGCATTTGTTTATTCTTTGTGCTTAAACTTCTTCAATTGCCTTAGTGTGAGGAAATTTCTACCGTGCATCTAATAATTATGAAGGCACAGTACCTCTGCCTTGATGGACAAATAAGAGTTTTACACGTGGATTGTTTAAACACAACAAAATTTTATTATTTTATTTAAGGATGAACTTATTTGCATTTCAATCCCACAACAAGCCTGTGTTGTGACGGTGCAACTTAACGCATAAGGAAACGGAATTAATTGGTGAAATTTCATTCTATGATGGTGAACACATAGGGCAACTTTTGGTAATTGTTCTCCGAATGCAGAAGGAAATGAGGGCGGTGCTACATTCTGAATGAAACGCGTGTAGAAACGAAGCAGATATAATCTCTTACAATTTGCTAGTGGCACTCAAGATTGCCTAAATCAAAGGTTTTTCAAGGAAGACTCTGAAGTCAGTGGTATGTTAACCGTTTAAATTATATTTGATGCTCCTATTTAGTCCAATCATCAGTTTAGAAGATAAAAACCTAGCCTGGAACTGCAAGTAGAACAAAATATGGCCTTCACAAACAAGAGTCTCACCAGCAGTAGATTTAGAGTTTTATTATTTTGTTCTTGTAGAAAAATACGTATATCATTAAGAAACAATATACTAGCTTTTGAAGAAATGCCTGGAACTATGATTGGGCTTCTTTTGCATGCTCCTTAAATGTAGATACACTGATACAGTGCTTTTATTACTCTTTTATGATAACAGTTACAGGTATATCAAGAAATTACTAGTGGGTTTCATCCATTTTATTATGTAATGTCAGCATAGCGAAGTTTTGCATTTGGCGAGTCTTCTGTGTAGGCACATACATTGCTATTACTCATATGTGAAGCTAGAGTTGTTTATATTGCTAGTTTTTTCAGTTCTTTTTAGATAGGATAATTTCTTGTCTCATTTCAGTTTTCCCATTTGTCGATTGGATTTTACCATTTAACTTCTTTCTTCTATTCTTTGAGCAGAAAATTTTAGATAATCCTTAATTTTTTAGTAATCTTTTAAAATGATATTCTATTAAGCACGTTTCTGGGAAAAGTATATGTTAACAATAGTAATAAAGCTAGAGTAGTTAAATACAAAATTAAACAAGTTGAGGATATATCATTTCCAAGCTGCTGCAAATTACTAAAGCTAAAAAAACACAAAGGATGCAAAGAACACACCTAATAGCTAATTCCAGAAGGAAATGTAAATCCTGAAATGAAAGTATATTATATGGATATATTTATGTTGCGTGTATTTGTAATTTCAATTAGAATACATAGTTAGTAAAATATTCTTTCACATTTTGTCATTTTATTTGAAAGATGAATGAATGTGATAGTCAAGCAATTGATAATTTGAATGAAGAAGGAGAACCTTTGTCATGTGGTGCGCTGAATGGAGACCATATATATATATATATATATATATATAGGGGAAAGATCAAGTACAAAGTGTGCTTATTGTGCAAATATTTGTACGATGCACCTTGACGTTATTTGCATTGCATATTGAGGTTCAAAGTATTGCACATTATAAAGTCATAAAAATAACAGTTGCACATTAAGGTGCAACGAGTTGCACCCTAAAAAGTTGGATTTTATTACAAAAATGCCACCTTGCCTTTATGTCCTTTGAATCAACTCATCGGACGGTCAAGATGAGTTTGTACTTTGTAAATTAAGAAGGCTTTGTATTTGATCTCTATTCTATATATATATATATATATATATATATATAGTGGTATAAGAAATGTAGAATTACATGGAATATATATTTGGAGTTTTATGTTACACTAGACATTGCTTGTTCTTAAAAAATTTAAGAGGATACGTGGTTTAGATATGTCGTTCATTTTCCTCCCTTCTAGAAGTTGGTGTCTGTGTATAGTTTTGTGTGTATAAACCAATAAAAGCTCATTTGCAGAGCTAAAACAGTAAGTTAGTTTGTTTAAGGCTTGATTGAGTTTGTTTTGAGCTCATTATATAGTGTACAGGGACATGCTTCATGATGTATGTACTCATGGCTATTCACACTTTCAACTCACATTGTGTACTTAAAATCATTATATAGTATACCGCGTACAAACTTCGGCTGCTATCTAACAAGTAACAACACTATCAAACATCACACTTTCTTGGAATTAATTATGCAAACCCAACATTTCAAAACATTAATGCAATTTCACAATACCAGAGCACTTGCACCATTTCAAAAATGATTTATTTGATACAAGGGGTTTATACTCATTTAGATTCAATATCAAAACGACGAAAGGATAACCACTAATACAATGAAATCTTTGGAAGACCACTAATACTCATTTATACTCAAACTAACATGCTTTCATATATTATCTTGTCAATCGACTCTTAGGCTCTTAGCGATACATATCATGAATGGAGGTCCAGTACCCTAAACTCTCTTGTAAATATTTTCTAATTTTTTTGTATGGATGAAATGTAAATTATATTAACATCCAAGCAAAATTAACATGTACAATGTGTCCAAAAATCTAAAAACCCTCACCCCCTCCTATTTCATGAGAAAAGGAGAGGGTTGGAAGAAGCTTTCAATCTAGTCTACGTCAATACTTGGACTATGAGCAAAAATATGCAGCCAATAAGTCAAAAAGTAAAAAATATGAATGGTCCTGCAAGCTGGATGCACACTGATCCGAACTGTAGTTTATGTCGTGGCATCCAAAAAGTGCTTGACTCCACTCAAAAGTTGATCAAGTCATGTGGGTAGATGCTAAAGAGTATCTTGTACACCACATGCTTGATCTGCTCAACAACTTCCTCTTCCTTCTTCTTGCCTTCATCAAATCTAGTCTCATTTCTTGCATGCCAAATGTAGTAGATCGCGGCACAAAATGCAAGTCAGGCAGCCTTAGCTTTCATCGCTGCTCCTTTGCGCGTCTTTGTGATCCATTTGATTGCACTAAGGAGCGTATTCATCTCGTGTCCAAATCCAATCCATGCCCTCACCTTGTCCCATACCCTGCATGTAAATGGACAAATGAAAAATAGGTGTGGAATTGTTTCCAATCCACCCTTGCATAGGTCACATCTATTAACCATGTGGAGGTAACCGAGGCTATCGTGGGTGGGAAGTCGGTTCCTCAAAGCCAACCAAACATTGAACAAGAATTTGGGAGGGATATAGGATTTCCAAATGAAGCTCATTGGAGTCCTAGGGGTCCCTTTAACTCTTAAGAGTTCATAGACCTTGCCCGTAATCAATTTCCCATTAATGCTGCTAGCATCAAGTCCCATTATGGTTTCGTTTAAGTTGTTAAACCATCCTCGTATCTTGTCTCGAATTTGGCCCAATCTTTTCATGAGTTGCGAGTCTCGGCCGTGTGGGATGAATTTCCACACACTTTTACCTTGAAGGTATATGCCATTGATCCAATGGACCCATAAGGTATTGTTCTTTTTATGAACATCCCATAATGTGCGAGAAAGGACACTATCCCATATTGTGAATGCCGAGACCCCCTTCCTCTTTTGGAAGACAAATGTCATCCCACGTTACTTTCACATATTTGCCACCTCACAAGAAAATCCTACCAATGGACACTATCCTATCCAAAATGGTTTGGGGAACCGGAAAGACTTGGAGCCAAAACGATTGGACCCCTTGGATCACTGATCGAATTAGCTCAACTTTACCTGCATAGGATAGTGTTTTTTATTCCAAGATTTAAAAAAATCATTGATTATATCAAGGGCACATATTGTGCGACCGAAACTTTAAGAGGGGCAAGTGGAATTCCAAGGTACCTTATCGGGAATGTACCTTGCCCATAATCAACCATGCTCAAAATATTTGATGTTTCGTGGTTTACCCTAAGGCCTCATACATCCCCAAACTCTTTCAGAGTGTTGACCAATATTTCTATGAAATATGTGTCACCTCTTGAAAGAGCATAAGGTCATCTGCATATATAGGCCAAATGGGTAATGCCTAATGCAGAGCATTTCGGGTGAAAATTGAAATTATTCCCTTGTAACCGAGAAAAGTACTCAAGGCATAACACAAATAGCAATGGGGACATTGGATCCCCTTGCCGTATGCCTCTTTTACCATTAAAAAAATCGTAGAACGACCCATTCAAGGAAACTGAGAAAGAGGCCGTTGAAACACATTACATAATCCATGCAATAAATGTAGGTGGGAAGCCCAATCCCATTAGAACTTTTTCAAAAAAGTCCCAAGAAATCATGTCGTATGCCTTTCGCAAATCTACCATATATAATCATGCATCTTGGTGAGATTCGTTTCCTATTGTATCCTCTAACAAGTTCCTGGGCTAGGAAAATGATATCAAACATTAGGCGGCCATCCACAAAAGCTCCTTGGGCTTGGTTAACCAACTCCGGGAGGCATGGGGTTAATCTAGCCGCAAATATTTTCGTTATAATTTATACAAGACATTCGTGCAAGAAATGGGTCTATAGTCCGAGACTTTTGGGGAGTGATTAGTCTTAGGGATAAGTGTTATAACAGTGCGATTAATCTGCTTAAGCAACTTTCTCGTATGAAAAAACTCCTTGATTCCTTGGACTATGTCATCCCCAATAATACTCCAATTGGCCTTAAAGAAGGCCGTGGTAAACCCATCCAGCGCCGGTGCCTTATCATATCCAATATCAAACAAAGCATCTCTAATTTCTTTATTTGTTATTGGAGCAAGTAGGCTATCATGAACACTTGGTTCAATCAAAGGGCCAGTTCCTTGGACCAAAGGGTCAAGGGTTAGGTTAGTCGTATTGGTACCAAACATACCACAAAACAATTTACAAATTCATCAACCACTTGATCTGAGGATGTCGTGAGACTACCGTCTGCCAAAGAGATGGAAGATATCGCATTTCTTGTGACATTCCTCTTCACTATGGCGTGAAAATATCTTGTGCCCTTGTCTGCCTCTATGATGTGTGTGGCTTTGGTTTTTTGTTGGTAGAAGCTTGTTTCAGCCTCCCCCAAAAATGTAGCACACTTCCTAGCCTCCGTCAATTACATTTTTAATTCATCATCAAGAGGC